GAAGAGCCGCAATTTGACGACTAATATTATCAATAGCTTGAATGGTAGGGTCTGATGTGGTAGAGGGCATAACATTAACCGGTAACCCCGGTGCACTAGAGGATCAGGACTGAGGGGATCGCTGACTACGACCAGTTCTTGAGGAACGTAACTCAGGATGAATCTGAAAAACATGTCTCATAGCGGTGTCCCTTCTTTTTGCAATAGGCGCAAAAGAACTTAGACCGAGCCTGAGAAGCAGGTGCCAGTGAAGAGGTCATAATAGCAGAAATTCAAAGTTTAAGATAATAATCATTGAACGAAACCTGAACGTTTAAAGGAGAACCCGAAAGTTAATGTAGAAACCCGAAGGTTAATATGTAAGAACCTAAAGGTTAAATTTAAACCCGAAGGTTATAGATGACTGTCAAATCTGAGGGAAAAAAGAAGCAACCGGCGACCAAGGTGGCCCGAAGATCGGCCGGAACTGATGCTCACACCGGAGACCTACAACGAATTAATGCCGATGTTGAGACGTTGAGACGTTGAGACGTCAACATGGATTTAAACGACAATGCCATTACTGATTGTGAAATGGCAGTGTTGTTTGTTTGAGGCTGAGAGATGGCTTGAAACGACGATGCCGTTAATTGAGACCAAGAAACGATCTTGAATACAAGAACGTGAAACACGTTAAGAGGCCGCAAAGCGGCAAGGCCAAAAATCTGGCAGAGAAACGAAAAAAGCGTTAAACAACTGCAAAGCAGCAAAGACAAGATTTGGCAAAAGAACGCAGAAGCATTAAAAATTTTTATTGGAAGGAAAATAATAATAACTCTAGCTCTGATACAATGTTAAAGTAAGAGAGAGAGTCTTGAATAAATTTTTCTTGAGTTGAATATTAGGTGTACACATATATTTATACAAACAGAGGAGGGTGAGGTGTGTTCTCACAACCAATGTGGGACTAAAACCCACTACAATACACTATTATCAACAGTTCTTATATTAATGGGTAATTTGCGAACTAATTATCGACAAATGGCAAAAAATTGATAGAAATAGCTTACTATTGTCTTAACTAAATGTTACATTAATATAGAGCATGATCTACAAACCATATCAATACAGTACTTCAAGATCCTCACTCAAGATATTTACTTTTATAGTTTTCTTTTAAGATGAGGAGATTCCAGCTCCTGTAACTTTCTAACCTTTGGATATGGACATTTAGCTCTTTATATTATGGAATAATCACAATCAATAACAGAAAAGGTGATATGAGAAGATTTTCTGTCCTCTCAATTTGGCTTTTAGGAAGAGTTTGAAAAGTCCTTCAAAATTGAGGCAAGTAAAATTAGAATAAGGGTTCTATTATAACCATCTTTATAGGAATGAGAAGGTTTACGCTGTAGATAGGAGAGTTAAAATTTCTAAATCAATCCCCAACCACCTATGAATGATATTAGATCATCTTATTTTATGAGTGATATTAGATCATCTTATTTTATGAGGGTATTCTTTTGTTTTCAATATATTTCGTCAAAAAGAGGACATGTTTTACTTGTACGTTGAAAGGGTGAATAACACATTTTTTAAGGGTAAATTACAGTAAAAATCTCCAATAATTTTTCGCATTTTGCAAATTACCCCATCACAATGGTAGCCCACATTTATGATCTAAATGTATTTTCAATGCAATATATGGACATATGTCATCAATAAGGGTTGCTAGCAAAACACGGAAATTTATCGAGAGTTCCTGCAATCCTAATAAATTATTGGGGTTTAGTAGGATTTTAGAAGTTTACCCTCGATACAGAGTAAATGGCTAATTCTCCTTTGAGAGAGCATTTAAATTCATTAATATATATGCGCTGTGCCAACTTGGTTACCTCTTTATATGGAAATTGCATCAACCAATTCCTTTCTTCTGGTGTAGTACAGATCTATCTCCTTAGTCAAATATATGATTTTAAAGCGAGAAGGGTGGACATAATAGTTTATAAAACCAAGTGGCCTTAAACTTTGCATTGCCTTGTCCCGTTGAAGGTGCTAGTTTTCAAATTTTGCATATTATTAAGACCTTCAATTCTTTAATTTAGGGAAACATTATGATCCTTACATACGACTTGATAAGGAAACGACCACGTGATTTGTACAGTAGTTTATTAACTCACCTACCAATATTTGCTGACAGCTGCTTGTTGTTGCTTTCTTACGATATGTAAAGCAAGTAAATGTACATAAAATGCTTATTAAACTACCTGACCTAAAGATAATTTGAGTATACATAATGATGGGCTAAGAAAGTATCATACTCTGCATCATGGTAATAAACAATGTTAAAACTTCATTCAGGGAGGACGTTATTCGTGCAACATTTCTTGTTTGTTCAGTAACAAACTCTCGTTTGGTACTAATATGTTTGTTAGATGATATATTTCAGGAATAAACAAGTACGAAAAAGTTTTGGCTAAAAACGATGCAAAAATTAGCATGAACAGTTGATTTCAGCCATTAACCATCGATGGTCACAAGACAACCATCAATGGTCCATAGTTCATCAATGGACTATAGTCAGCAATCCGTATTTTCTACAAATGAAAAATCAAATCATCAACAGAATACAGTCAAACATCGATGATTGCTTCAAACCATCGATGAACTAGTCAACAATATGTGAATTCCATAAATCAGAAATTGAAGAATGGATGGACTACAGGGAGCCATTGATGATCAACATCAACCATCGATGATCATGTTTAACCATTCGATGGATTGGATGCGTTTTGACAGATTTCTAGATTCAATCTCAGCCATTTGATCACAGATTTGATCTCCTAATTCAACACTGATTAGATGACCTCTTTTCAATGCAATCAATGTCTATTTAAGGAAGGATTGGAGAAGAGATTAATAACAAGAAGTAGGGAAGATGTTTGCTCAAGTTTGAGAAATCAAATTGTAGGGTTTGTGAGAGATTGAGAGTTATAATTTGATTCCTGAGCCTCGCTTAACTTCTTCTCATTGCACTCAACATCAAAAGATTGTTTCAGCGAGGAGAAGTGCCCTTTGCGTTCATCTACAACATCGCTTCTTCGCGGATCTTCAACATCATTGTTTTGGAGAGCAATTTATTTAAAGTGTTGTAAGATCATTTCAATTGTGCTTTAATTATTTTTAGGGTTAGTCTAGTATTTCAAACTTGCGAGTTTAACGACGAACTCAAAGCTAGTCAATAGAGGTTTGGCATGCTCAAGCCAAGGTAACTGAGTGTCGCTAGCTAGGGCTAGGTTTCTTATGGTCATTGTGAGGAAGTGGGTATCTAGATTGATTTAGGGTAGATTTTAGAGTTCTGTTTGTAAAGCCTACTAAATTGGACTGTGATTCAAGGATAACTCCGATCATAGAAAATAAGGTCATTCACGAGAAGGAAGAGTGAACATATGATTTTAATTAGAACCACTACAAAAAATCTCGTGTATTTCTATGTTAGTTGCTCTTAGTTTTTCATGCTTTATTTTCCGTTGCATATTCTTCGTTTCGTACCGAAATTTTGTCCCCGGGGCAATCCCCCCACCCACAAAAATTAGTATGAACAAAATAGTAAATAAGTACTGTAAATAAAATAATATTGAAATCATAAATTTCAAAGAAAACACAGGTAAATTTTCTTCTATCCTATATTAGTCAATTTTTTTTATAGGTTGACTCAGATGGTTAAGAAGTTACAATATGACTGTAAGGTGTTTGGATTCGACTCCAAACTGGATTATATAATAAAAATTAAAAAAAATGTACCGCCTTCTCAATGTTGAGTGTGGTTACCAGTAACCGCTACTTTTTACAGCAAATATATACGGTAAATTGGAATAATGCACAGGAGAAACTGCGATTTCTCTGTCCAGTGTTGTATTCCTCAAACCGAATTAATAGCCAACGAGGTGCAGTGCATTCATACTCCATGTTTGAGAAAGTCTCTCAACTTTCAGTTTTCATGAAATTATAAGCTTTCGCCATGTGTTCTCAAGACCAAAAAGATAACCTGATTTAAAAAGTGTTAACTTCCTGAAGCAAAAGCTAAGTACTAGATGCAGGGGCACATAATATTTCAAATGTTTTGATACCATTAACCAATATCTACATATCATTGCAAGCAAATTGATGCTATAATTGACTGTATTTCTGGAATTCAATATGCTTCGATGATACCTCATACCCACACCAACACAGCCCTCAAAACACAGTGAACACACAGCATCAGAATCATGTACAAAAACAGAGAAGTTGCTTGTTCATTCTTATATGATGGATGAAGCAAACCTAAACAGAATTGACAAAAAGCCCACACAAGAAAAGATTAAAAAAAAAAGGACACAAATCACATCCGCCAAGTTCATTTCAAGTCTCAACCCCTTCAAAATTCATTCAGACGGTTCTCGCTCAATTTAACTCAGCTGATCCCTGAAAACCCTGAGAATATCTTCAAAAGTCACAACTCGACGACGCCCGTAATCCTCCTCATCCAAACCCAGACACGTATCACCTATGCGCCAGCGCCTGCCCACATCACGCACCAGCGACACTCTCCCGGATGGCAAAACGATCCGCCTCTACGAACCGCCTCCCATCCTCGACGAGCATAACTCCCACCTAGTCTCCTCGGCTCCTCTTCCTCCACCGACTCACTCTTCCTCTGATGATGAGGAAGGTCCTATGTGCTGAAGAGTCGACCCGACGATGTCGACAGAAGCCGATATCATCTGCTATCGCCATCGATAAACTCGAATTCCGTTTAAGTTTTTTCTTTCAACCAGAGTTTTGACGCAATGGATGACAATCAAAGGGAACGCCGCCGCAGACGCAGATCGATGCTACGCCTGAGGTCGGCGGCGGAGGAGCAAGCAGCCCGCGGCAGTCTCGTTCGCAGGAGGAGAGTTGAAGCGACGAATATCTTCGCCGACGAGCTTGTTGTCTCTGTGATGACTCACGATGAGTTGTCGAGGGGCGAGCGGGAATTAGGCGAGCGCTGAGAGGGCGGGGAGCGGTGGGGACGGACGAGGACGGAGTAGGGGACTGAGGTCGAGGACGGTGACGAGAGGACGCGGTGCGAGCGAGAAGAGGAAGATGTTGTTGAGGAAGAAGCGGATGAGGTCCTCTTGCGTCAGCCAGCAGAATTCTTGACTTCGGTTCTTCTTCTTTGGGAAGGCGGATCGAATAGGGACTATTAGGGTTTGGGAGTTGGTGTCTAGGATCACGTCTAGTGCTTCCAGGATGCTGCATTGATTGAAATTGTAAAGATTAGAACTTCTTCGATATGAGAAGATGGACAAGCTTAGAATTTAGGTAGAACTGCTAATTTTATGTTAAAATATTTAAGAATTTCATGACAGAGGCAAGAAACAAGATAAGAATTTTTTTTTAAATATTGTTAACTGCTGGTGAATTAAAATATTTAAAAAAAGTTGGTTCCTTTAAAAAGCTAAAATTAAAAGAAGAAATCTATGAAGTTAAACAAAGCTAAAATTAAAAGGTAAAATTTTAGAGATCAGAAGGGTAATCAAATTGGGATTGAAACCTATAGTAAATAAATCATTTAAAAAAACTCTGAAATTAACAAAAGGGGAATTGAGAATGTTAAATTTTAGATAGAAAGGAGTGATCCAAGTGGAAATTGAAACCCAGAGCTTAATTTAATCAAGGGGAAAAATCTGTTTTTTTTTTTCCCTTTTTTCAATTGAAGGAGGCCGAAACTATACAGCAAAATAAAAATTAAAAATTAAAAATAAATAAATACACAAAGCTAGCTTGATCAAGTGAAAAAAGCCAGTTTTCTAATTTAAACAAGTTGAAATTATACAGAAAATTAAAAAATAAAAGAACACGCGCTAAAGCTTTAGATCCATTATAAAATTGATCCCAAATCCCAAATTCACATATCTGCCCACAAACCCTCGTCCAAAAGTCATACTTTCTCCCATAAATTTAACAGCAACGCCTGTAAAGCCAAGTAAAACATCCGCATTTAATAATAAATCTAAATTAAAAAAAAAATTGAAAAGCCCCAAATAAAAATCGAACGCAATCCAGAAAAAAAAAAAAAAAAAAAAGCCCCAGCTTTTACCTGGAACTCGCCTCAACTCTCTTAACCAAACCCTCGCCCTTAGCGAGAAGGGCAGAAACAGGGTTCTTGAGCGCAGCAGCAGGGTTCGAAATATTGCCCTCAGAGCAGAGAAAACAGAGCACATCAACCATACAAATCTTTCCGGCGATCTCCACGGCCCGAGACGGCGGCGCCGCCCTGGTCTCCGCCGAGACGGCGACGAGGGCCTCGCCGACGGTGGCCTTCGCCGGCAGGGATCTCAGCGGCGGCTTGCCGATGCAGGAGAAAGGAGGGATACTGCCATGCACGTGAGAGGTGAGAGGGAGGGATCGGAGGGATCTAGAAGCTAGAAAACTGAAACTGGGGTTTCTGAGTTTTGATGAGATGATAGAGAGAAAGAGAGAGCCTTTTGGGGGATTGGAATTTGTATAAGAGGGTGACGGGTGTATTTATGGAGTCGGGGGGATAACGAGTTCGTAACGTGAGAATTTTTGTGTGTTAACGCGTTGAGAAATCGCTTATCATACCGAGTCAGATTAGGAGTCCATTGACAGGATGGAACGGGTAAAAATAGCAGTACTAGTAATAATAATAATATAGGATTATTTAGATATTAGTGCCTCAAAATCTTCAAAAATTTTATAGTAGTCCCTCACATTTTTGAAATTGCTCTTAAGCCACTCTTCAAATATTTAGGTTACTGCAAGTTGGCCCTTAATAGACAAGGTACCCTCCCAATTAGACTTACAACTGTTTGTGACGAGTTCTCATTGTTATGGTGTTTTCAATCGCCATAGTGCGACCATTTGTCAACAATGGAAAATTGTACTCCTGTATGCAATGCCCTAATCAAATTGGCGGTCAAAGACCAGTAAGGACTTCCAACTTAGCCGACTCGTCGAGTCGACATTCACTCATGTCGATTCGAATGGCGGAACTTGTCGGCCCTCTTGTCGAAGACGAAGCCCACTCGACCAGCTATTCGACACCATTGCGGGGTCGACTCGAGAGGCATTACTTCTCGGCTAAGCCATAGGTCGACCTCAGCCTCGAGCCTCTCCCACTGACAAACGTGTCAGCATCACATGTAATACTTAACAGGCGCCATCATATCTCTAGCCCCGATAGTTTTCATGACTCATCGGCCCCCACCCCCCCCGCCATACCTCCAATCGCTTCTCATTTAATAGTGAAGTGATCTCTCCCAAGTCACCAGTCGACACTTGTAAAGTAGGTATTGACGCAGCTGCGAGCCCACACTTCTTCACCGTCATCACGTGCTTGGCCGAAGTAACAATTCTACCCTTATATTACCAGTATAAATAGAGGTATTATTCTAACATAGAACTGCTTCCAGATCAGATCTTTTATGTAATATTTGCAAATTATACTACACACAGAAGAATTCACCCAATTCTTCATTTCCCCACTCAAGTTCACCAGCTGACTTGATCGTCGGAGGAACCATGAGTGAACCAGTCCGCGTCCTCTCATGAGTTCTATATGTGTAAGCTTCAGCCACTCAACTCAGAACCGAATATTCAAGAAGGGAAAAGGCCTCTCATCAATCTCACCCCCATCCAACTATTTTTATTGACTGTGTGATTATTAAAATCAACAGTTTGGTGCCCACTGTAGGGCCTCTTTCTTTTTCGAGAAACATGTCTAGTTCTGAAGATAGAGCTAACCAGTCTCACCTTGTAAAACCACACCAGAGCTACGTTACTCGAGCTCGGCTTGAAGAAACAGCTCATCATATTTATCAATGTCTCCAATAGCAACTCGCTACTTTCACCAGCGAGCTTCTTAGCCATCTTCCACAGCCACAACAAGCTACCTCAGCTATCCCCCCACTTTCTCGGGACTTGCAGTCGAAGACTCACCCTCCTTCCAGAGTACAACAAGTAGTCCCACTCCGGACTCCTCATGCTACTGCCAAGTAGTTGAGGGATTGCGTTAAGTACGCGACTCCGCCACCTCATTGGTCGACTCACCCTAGAGAACCTCGTCGATGTCTCCTCTCTTATCCAGAAATTACCGACGAGAGTCCTATTCCTAGTCATCTTGGGGACCGCATTAAGGGAGCAGTCTCTAAGACTCTCCCCCATCACTGTGCTTCTCCAGCCCCTTCTGCTACCGTAGGGGCCTTTGGATAAGATCGGGTGCACAGACCGATCGCAGAAGCCATTAGGGGGAACACCCCTCTTTTAGATGACCTTATGAATACCCCATATGAGAAGTTTAAGATGCCTCATGTGGTGAAGTATAAGGGCGAGGGAGACCCCTCCGAGCATGTTTAGAACTAATATGATGTGATGAGCATTCTCCAAGCATTGGAAGCGGTCATCTGTCGATGCTTTCCCATCACTCTTTTGGGGAGTACCAAGCTCTAGTGGAACACTCTTGAGAAAAAGTCCATCAGCAGCTTCCAACAGCTCAGCCGGAAGTTCATCCATCACTTCCTAGTTAACACTAAGCATAAGCTGCCCCCTCATGTGTTGATTCAGATGAAGCAAGGGCCTGGAGAGAGCATTCGAACCTATATCAAGAGGTTCCAGGCAAAGAGGCTGGAGGTCAATGACCCAGGGAGTGCGATTATTATGTCCGTTATCATGGCCGACGCGCAGAGCAATGAGTTGTCCGACTCACTTGCTAAGAAGTCAGTCACCAACTATGAGCAGTTGATGGCCAACACTTATGGGTACATGGATATGGAGGATGCTCGAGCTTACAAGGCGGCAGCTAGGGACACAGAGACCTCCACAACCACAACTTTAGCAGGCACCGCCCGCACCAGCAGCAGTCCTAGCGATGGCGCTAACACCAGGATCTGCCAGAGGCCCCCCTGCGAGGCAAGAGTGGCCAAGAGACCCTCCAAGAGTAGACTCCGACTCTAATCTGTCTAACAGGAGGGACCGATAGAGGGACCCGGCCCCCAAGACTACTCTCACTATCTTCAACACCTCCCTCACAAAAGCTCTCGCCATGGTCTAAAAGGAGGGACACCTCAAGGAGCATGCTCCCCAGATGAGGTCGAATCCACCAAATCGAGACACAAGACAATTTTGTCACTATCACAAGGATCACGGCCACCTCACCAATGACTGTCGTATCCTGAAGAGGGACATCGGGGGAGATACTTGAAGAAGCTCGTCTCTCGACCGTGGCCCCAGCCAAGGTGATTGGGAGATCCCACCCATGGTCACCTCGTCCTCGACCACGCTAGGATAGTCGACCCCAGAGCCCAACCATAAAGAGGTCATCAACATGATCAGTGGTAGTCCCACTATTAGAGGGTCATCCAACAACCTCCGAAAGAGATATGCTAAGACGGCTGTTTGTTGGAAATTTGTAGTAAAAGAAATAATGAAAGAAAAATTTGACTTGTATTCCTCTCAAAATCAATTACAATTTGGATTCCGATTACAAAAGAGAGGAGAATGAATTTGATTCTCCCCTTTGTTTAAAACTGGGTTCTTCTTGGTAGCGGTGGAGTGCTTCCTTCGATTGATCGCGTCGAACTTGCTCTCCGTTGACGATCCGACCGTCCTTCTTCACTGGAATAATTGAAGCGTTTGATGACTTCGGTTTAGAACTCTTGACGAGTGTAAAGAACTCTGAACGAGTTAAGAACTCTGACAAGAGTTGTTGAAAACCGACTGTTTGGTTTGATGAGATTAAGTTGGGTTGCAAACTTAATCACGAACTCTTAAAATGAGTTTCAGAAATAAACTCAGAGTGAGTTAAAACTCTATAACAGAGTTATTGGAATCGAAGATTCGGTTAATTGCCAAGTGGACTAGGTTGTTGATGAAGGGATCCCTCGGGATTCGATTAACTGATCGTTGATCAGTTCTTTGATTTCCAAAAGATCTTCTTCTTCGTTAAACTGCTGAGATTTGATGACCTTAGGCGGTTTTGATGCCAGCTCACCTAAACCTTATGCAGTTTTGATATCAGAAAATCGATCAACCGACCAACCCTTTACTCAGTTGAGTAAGTTGGTTATTTATAGGGTGATGTGGGGTGTAACCAACCCCTATTCCCGCTCCTTTGTGGGCGAGAATCCCTCAGAACGTGGGATAACGGCTTTGAGGCCGTTCGGCTTGCGTTTGAACAAGTCAAAACGCCTCAGTTGGCGTTCTGGGCTTTAACTCTGCGTCCAAGACTTGAGACGCAGAGTTAAATCTCTGTTAGAGATTTGAGACACACGGGCCGTTGGTGCGTTGAAATTTAACTCTGCGTCCAGAGTTTGGGACACGTAGTTGAACCTATTGAAGAACGCACGTTATGTGTGCGTTTGGTGCTTGAACTCTGCGTTGCAGAGTTAGACATTCGCTGGAGAACGCACAAGTTGTGTGCGTTTCGAATTTGAGAAACGCAGAATTAAACTTCTACGTTTGATAGAGGTTGTTGACTTGTAACCTCGTCTACCATGACATTGCAAAGGCCATTGTTTATTGGTCTTTGCCTGTTATAAGATATGAGAGTCGTCAGATTGTAACTCTCACCAACGATCGTGAAGGCCACTGAATAGGGTTTTCATCAGCTGTCGGAAGCGTCGTCAAATTGTAACTCTTCTCGATCTGTGTGAAAAGTCTCCTATTTGCCCCTTCCGACTGTCGACCCGAAAGCTATTTGATTGTAGCTTTCGTTGTGAGAGCTTGACGGGAATCAACATCCATAGTGTTTTGAAGATGGATATTTGCCCACAGCTCTCTACCAAGCGACTCACCAACTAAGTCCAACCTTTTATTTCTGAAATCATTACACTGCTCATCAGCATCTCTAATAGTTGCTAATATAATATTAGTCATGCTGTTGTCGCAGCCATCAAGATCAATCATCTCAGAGATGAGGCCGTGTTTATAGCGGTTGCAGAGTTGCGGATGCAGTGATTAGAAAGTCGTCTGATTGTAACTTCCATTATCAGGGCTTGATAGGGATTAGCTATCCATTGTGATTTTTAGACAGCCTACAGAACCCCCTCCAAAGTTTTCGAAAGTTCGCGGTTGACTGGGACGAATTTTCGGAATACTTTGGATCTCAAAATTTAGAAGACGTTGTCAGACTTAGTTGATTGGAATCTAATTGTACTCATCCAATGGACTCTTCTGTGGGGTCACTTGTTTCTTCTTGGCTTTTAGTCGCTTTGATAGCTGACATTAGCCTCCCTCTATTTATTTGGAACCATGTCTTGGCTATAAACATAGAGGAAGTCGTGTGGTTGAGTCAGAACGCACAGATAGATTTCTTGCGTTATTGAACTGAAACGCAGGGTTAAATTCTGCGTTTAGGGATTCCATCAATGTAGATGCACGGCGGATTATAACGCAGGGGTGAATTCTGCGTTCAGAAGCTCAAGCGTCACAGGCGCACAGGCCACGTTTGGCGGGATTTTGGGCCTAGAACCCCAACCCGATTTGACAGCTCATAGCTGTCTATAAATAGACCGCTAAGGGTCAAATCAAAAGTCACCCGACTTTTTGCCTCCTCTCTTTCGAAAGATTTTTAACGAAGCCTCTTCGTTTTCGACGTCGGTGATCCTGTTCATCATCTCCAACCCTCTTCCATGGGTTCCAAGAAGAAAGCTGCTCCACGCCCAAGATCCCCTGCTGCAGCGGCGCCGCCGTTTCAGGTTCCGCCCGTCGGTGGTAAGCGTCGCCCTTCGTGGCCGTCAAACTCGCTTCGGCGAGTTCTTTAAAACCCTAGATGTATCGCCATCAAACTTGCTTCGGCGAGTTCTCTGAAAAAAAACCCTAGATGGGTTCTTGCGAACGAGGAAGATGACTCGTTTTACTATTGTAACGCAGAGTTAAGATTCTGCGTTTTGAATTCGAAACGTCAGAGGCTTGACCTTTGCGTTTATGAAATTTTTAACGCCAGGCTTGAACTGTGCGTTCGAAAACTTAACGCAGAGTTTAACCTCTGCGTTGATGAAAATTAACGCCAGGCTTTAACTGTGTGTTCGAAAGCTTAACGCAGAGTTTAACCTATGCGTTGATGACAATTAACGCCAGGCTTTAACTGTGCGTTCGAAGACTTAACGCAGAGTTTAGCCTTTGCGTTGATGAAAATTAACGCTAGGTCTGAACTGTGCGTTCGAAAATTTAACGCAGAGTTCGACCTTTGCGTTGATGAGCTTTAAACGCCAGATCTGAACTGTGCGTTTGATAAAATTCTTTCTTATGGACTTAGCTAAAACTCCCTTCGCTTGACTGATTGAATATTTCTTTCTTTTGCAGTGCCTTACACCCGTGAACCTCTCAATCTTCGTCACCACTTCGGGCATGAGGGAGGTGTGGACTCTAATATGCAATTCAATCTGTGTCAAGAATTCCCAATATTCTAGGACACCGACAAAGATCGCGTCACTCTGATCTCAGATCCAAATACTGATGTACTCAGGGTTTTGGTTACGGACGCTAAGTTTGAGACTGGGTCTCGCAAGAAACTCACCAAGCCAGCTTTCTTATTTGGGGATCGTGTCACTATCTCAAAAGAGATCGTGCACGGCGGTCACTACAAATGGCTTAGGCAGATCGGCGATCGTCGCTTCTTCCTCCCTGACATGCACAGGATGTTTCCCATCTCCTACTACCAATGTGCTTCCGTTCCCCGTCACATGAATTGGGACTTGGTGAGAGAGCAGGATGGGGTAGCTGTTGGGGTTCTGACTCACAAGGGTGTGAATACCGCTGGATATAATCGACAAGTGTCGGCTTTGGAACCCTGCTTATTCTCACGAGGATATCCTTTGGGAGAAACAGCTAGTCCAGCTAACACTTTCATGCGACGGTTTTTGGCTGCCAAAGGAGAATTCCCGACTGCAGTATTCCGAGCTCCTGGATGGGTTCATTCCTCCAAGACAGGATGGTGGGCACGAATGATAGAATTCGTGTTGGCAGAATTAAAGGAACCATTAGCTCAATCTGGGCTTGCTTGCCCTATTATGGCTACTAAACATGGAATAGCTCTTAGTCCATATAACTTCTTCGCCATTCTGGAGCGGTACAATCCAGAGACTTGTACGTTTTTCACACCAGAAGGAGAATTAGGGTTCGCCCTACATGAAATGTTCGATGTCTCAGGTCTTCCTTTTGGAGATTTACCATATGAAGAGTTTGTCCCTGGGTCAACTGAGCTGAAGATCTTGAAGGAGACCATCCCCGAGGTATATGACACTCTATGGGAGGTGATGTGTCATTTCCAAATCTGCGGCCAATTGACAGGGGCACGAGGACGTGGTATCAAACAGCTATCCTGGGCCGAGTATCTTTTCCAAAATTTGTCTGACAAGAATGCCGCTGTGTCTCGTCGGGAGGCGAGCACCCCTGAGACCATCCAGGCTCTGATCAATGACGCCACCGTTCACTATGTCAGCGAGGGAATAGAAGATGACTTCCCAGCACAGACTGAATTCGAGAGCTTCCATCACCAGGCAGCTACTCCCATC